TTTCGGAGTCTACGGATAGGGCGAGGTGCGTAGGGTTTTGGCATGGAGCGGTGTTTTCAGGTTGCCGGTTTTGAGTTTGCTCAAGACTGTGCTTCTATTAGGGAACCCTCTGGAAGAGTATTTCTGATTTTTCAGCACCTTCGGTATCAACTTTGCCACATGAAACTGCCTGCTTCCAGGGAGCTCCCCTTAACTAAGGAATAGACCTCAAAGCATTAGGGGCTTCACATTATGATTGAAGCGAACTTCCTTAGTTAAGGGGTGATGGAGCCCCCTAAAACCCTAACCCTATCGATCCCTTAAAGGAACCCGAGGCCCTAGGTATTCCTTGATTAAGGGGGTATTGGGCTCTCTGCGTTGGCAGGCCCTCAGACCCCCAACAAAGCTACGGGGTTAGGGTTTAGGGTTTAGGGTTTAGGGTTTAGGGTTTAGGGTTTAGGGTTTAGGATTTCGGGTTTAGGGTTTAGGATTTAGGGTTTAGGGTTTAGGGTTTAGGGTTTAGGATTTAGGGTTTAGGATTTAGGGTTTAGGATTTAGGATTTAGGGTTTAGGGTTTAGGGTTTAGGGTTTAGGGTTTAGGGTTTAGGATTTAGGGTTTAGGATTTAGGGTTTAGGGTTTAGGGTTTAGGGTTTAGGATTTAGGGTTTAGGGTTTAGGGTTTAGGGTTTAGGGTTTAGGATTTAGGGTTTAGGATTTAGGGTTTAGGGTTTAGGGTTTAGGATTTAGGGAGACCCCCAACAAAGCTACGGGCTTAGGGTCAAACTCTGCCCAACCTTGTCACACACTCTTCTCGCTGAGGTTGTTCTTCCATAGCTACTCTTTTTTTGTACCATACAATAGCATACCGTACCATAGCATGCCATGCCTTTTATTCCATACCATACCTTGCCATGCAATGGCCTGCCAGACCACACCACAGTACAATACGTTACCCTACTTTACCTGCTACTTTCATACATACACACCCAGGAAAAACATGTGCACCCATGCGCACAACACACAGGTTCCATGGAAGCCCGGCCGTGAAGTGGCGAAAATGGCGACGGTGTCGCTCCAGGTTCCCGACGCCTCGAGCTTGCGGAAAACCTGGGCTTGCAAGCTTTTGAACAAATCGTCGCGAACTACCATTAGCAAGCGCTCGCTTCTGCTGCAGGCTGTTCTGCGCTGAAGCGCGATGCTGGGCTCCGGCGACAGGTTCATTCTGGAAGCAGGCAGAGTCCACGATTGCACCTGACGGCCACGTCCGGCGTTTCGGATTCGGGGCTTGGGATTCTGAAGGCTTCTGCTGAAATCTGGTAGCCTAAAGGGGTCCAAGTATCGTTATGGTATATACTTAGACCCCCCAATATACCCTATAAGTATACACCCGAATGATACTTGGACCCTTTGGGTAGACTGCAGGAGTTTGCGGGCTGAGGCCTAGAATTTGGGGTTGCAGTACCTGAGTCCGTGTTCTTCAAGACTTGACAGCACAAAAGCTTGCATGCTGTAGAATTTAATTGAAAAAAGGCATCTAACCCCGAGGTCTCAACCCCCAAGCCTAAACCCCTAAAACGTAAGATCCAAACCCCACAAACCCTTCTTTTCGCAGGCTCTCGAAATCTTGGGTTTGCGGCAAACCTGGGCTAAAGGCTCTGGAGTTTCTTGGGGATGCAAGTTGAGGCCGATGGTCTTGGAGCCAGCGGGTGGCTACGTCTCCGGGGTGTAGGATTACGGTGCGAGGCTTCTTAAGGGAAGTCGGGTTGAAGTTGATCGGGTTTTCTCGGGTTTACCCAGAGCGCCCAACACCCCTTCAGTAAGGAATATAACTCAAATCATAATATGAAACCCCTGATGATTTAAGGTCTACTGGTATACTCCGCCGTAATTATGGGGTATTGGGCTCTCTGGGTGGGGCTTCATGTTCTATCAGGCTTTTACGGCATTTGGAGCCTTTAAAGTTCGGGGTTTCGGGCTGAAGGTTTCGGGGTTCAGGGCCGAGGGCTTTGAGGCTTGCGCCTGAACTGCCGGGAGCAATGCAACCAGGTCAAAAGCCCTGGAAGGCTATGGTCGGAACCTGATTAAGAAGCCCTGGCCTTATAACCCCCAAAATAGTAGGATTCACATCAGGAACCCTAATAACGCCCCAAGGTTTCTTGATCAGGTTCCTACATCATTATAGTACCCCAATGGACCCCGTATAGTAACCCTTTTAGACCCCTTTAAAGGAACTACTCTAATCGACCAAAGATCTCCTAAACCCTACACTTGATCCCCAAGCCGAAACAAGACACAGGCCCCCTGGAAAAGCCCGAACATCTGCCCGCCACAATCCTCAATAACACCCTGAAGGTTGCCGGTCGGGCGCCGGCGAAAACTCGGCGACAATCTCCACGAACACGCCACTTTGCTTGCCGGCACCAGTCAAGAAGATGGCCCTGCTGCAGCTGCTACTTGCTCGCTGGGGGCTGTGAAGGAACATTCAGGGTACTATACTGAACTTAGAACCCTAGCAAAAATTATATTTTTAGCTGTTTCTTAGGGGTTATAATAACCAAAAAATTTTAAAAAAGTATTTCTAAGTACCACTAAGGGCATACAAAATCTCGGGCTGGCAGCTTTGAGGTTCAGGGTTCCATGCCGATGACGCTGGGGGTTTACGGTTTAGGGTTTTGGGTTTTGGGTTTACTCGGAAGGGCAGGGGACTTAGTAAGTAGGGTTTAAGTAGGGAGTTATAAGTACCTTAAATGGAGTTACCCCAATTATAACCCTACTTATAACCTACTTACTAAGTCCCCTGCCCTTCCAAGTAGGGTTTAGGGTCTCGAACTCAACGACATGGGCCTTCTCAGACTCTGAGCCTCAAAGCATTTGCAATGCCACCGGCCCCAGCCCTTCTTCTTATGCTAGGTTCCTGAGTCGCGCGTTTACAACCGGGGTACATCCGGTCTTAATAAGGGGACCCTAAAATAACAGGGCAAAAGGTCACTACTCAGGAACCTGGTGCGTGGAGAGTCTATCGGGGCACAGTTTCCAGAGGTTATGAACATCTCACCGTCAAGGGCGCAATGATGGTGAGTGCTTCACGTGATGGTGCTGTCATGAAGTTGAAACATGAGTATGAACATGATCCTTGGTATTGAGACTGGGACTAAGATTACTATGAACATTGAGATGTATGTCTTGAGCCTCAATACGAATGAGACTGATATTTGCGGTGTTTCTACTGACGGGTGTATAATTTTCTGCAGCAGCTCACTTTGAAAGTATAGATGCTTGTCGCTTCTCCTTGTTGTCGTTATAATTACTGAAGCTGCTGCATCGTGCTACCACTACTACTCCTGCTACTACTACTACTACTACTACTACTACTACTACTACTACTACTACTACTACTACTACTACTACTACTGCTACTGCTACTGCTACTGCTACTGCTACTGTTACTGCTACTGCCACCGCTACTGTTGCTACTGCTACTGCTACTGCTATGCTACTCTGCTACTGCCACCGCCACAGCTACCGCTACTGCTACTGCTACTCGTACTGCTACTCCTGCTGCTGCTCCTGCTGCTGCTACTACTGCGACTACTACGACTACGACTACGACTACGACCACGACGACGACTACTACTACATCCTTACAATACTCTTGTAATCAGGAAGTTTGAGAAAACCTTGTTCAATCAACAGACCTGCTAACAAAAATTAAAAAGCAGATCCGAAATTCAGAAAACCTTCTTCAATGAACCGACTTGTTGCCAAAACATCGTCCCTAATATAGGGGCCTTAATGGTTAGAATATGGTTTTGGGGGCCACTAGACTATAACTACAACAAGGAACTCGCCAAAATAGTATAGGTAATCATTTAGCCCCGTATGTTAGGCTTATGGGGTTTACGGGGGTTCCTATTGTTTTACGGTATAGGACACCCCCAAACCGCATTCTAAATATTCAGGCCCCTATAAACCCTAAACCCTATAAACCCTAAACCCTATAAACCCCAAACCTAAACCCTATAAACCCTAAACCCTAAACCCTATAAGTCCTAAACCCTAAACCCTATAACCCCTAAACCCTATAAACCCTAGACCCTAAACGCTAAACCCTATAGGCCCTAAACCCTGCAGTACCGGATCCAAAAGCGGCCCAGTCGCCTCTGCTCCCGCACCAGCTTCGCCGGCTTCCATGGCCCTTTGACTCCCGCGGCCATGGGCTGAGCTATGGGGTTCAGGGGTTTAGGGGTTCAGGGGTTTAGGGTTCAGACCTCTTGGGCAATTGTGGCTCTCCGGTTTAGGGTTTAGGGGGTGCGAGTCTTCGATGTTGAGAGTGCTGCGTTGACTTGGGTTTGGGTTTGAGATGGCTTAAAAGATCAGGGTTGGCGGCAGTTGTTGGGTAATAGGTGCATGGTCAAGGGTGGTCGGCCGTCTGTATACGAAAAAGTAACAAGAAGTACAATCAAATACGATCCAGAGACTGCGCCGACCTGTGTGAAAGTTCCGCAGCTTACCATGTCGGGCTGGGTTAGGCTGGTTCCGGGCAAGGGGTCATGGCCGCCCGACGCGTAGAGCAAAACAGCTGCGCAGACGCAGGCACACTCACGGGCAAAGCGCAATGCTCCACTGCAAAGGTCCACCCGATCGTCGAGTAATGATGCATTGCTGAGAAGGTTTTCTACGATTATGCCCTGAAACAGATGTGGCGGAATCGCAACCTGCACTTAGCAGAGAACAGATGCCAAAAAATGGCATCCTGCATATTCCAGCTGACTCCGAAAGGCGTGGAATGCTTTTGGGACTTCCATGCCGCGTCTGCGAACATAAACATCGAGATTATCTTCTGTTGCCGAACTCCGCACTCCCACCGCCGTGTAGCGAAGATTGCCACATCCCTGGAAAAAGTCCACCCCAAGAGGGCCACAGTGCGAGCCAAAGCCTGTCAAATGCATCCGCCTCCCGAAATCTTTCCTTGGCACCGTTTATCTTGCTGAAGCTGCAACGCCGTGCTCAAGCCTTCGTGTTCAGTATTCTGGAATGCTCTGGCATCGTCCCTTGTCAGTCCAGTCGACAGGAAAGGGGCACAGCTTCTGTAAAATGGCTTCGCAGGCGGATCGATTGATTGGTATATTCCTCTTGTTTTTGACCATGACTCTGTGCCCATGTGCCGCTGTTGCTTTGCCTTGCCTCTGAACTGCAGTGCGAAGGTCATGCTTCACATTGTGAACTGCATCGGACGTGTCAACCACAAGGTACAAGTCATCAAAGGGCGCATGCGTCCGAACGCCGGCCTCTTGGAACTTCACTGATCGGAAATTCACGAACCAAGTGCTGACGCTTGGCAGCCATGACAGCCTGCTGCTTTTGCATTCCACCTTCCGACCCCCCAGCGTCCAATCCCATGCAGTCCTGATGAACTGGTCTTCGCTGGCCATTCACGCAGGTGCCGAGGACAGACGATAGGCTCCGCCAGCTGGAGATGTGGGTACGCACTCGAGAGCACGCTCTTGCACAAGCTTTGTAGGATAACGCCTCGGCTGGACGAACTTATCCCAGACAGCGGGTGTCCGGTGTGTAAGTCGGACACCTTGCTCTGTCTTCGAACTCCTGCCTGGGGAATGCAACATGTTGCATTGTGCTGTTGCTCGTGCTCTCCGGGTTGTGCAGAATTCGGCTCTACCAAGGGTCTCACAGCGCAACACTTGCCGAATCCGCATGCCAGCACGGCCGTCACTACTTCGCACGGTGACCGAGCTTCCCAGTCATCCTGGGGCTTATGAGCAGCAGACAACGGAACGCAAGCTATCGTGCGACAAGTGGCTCCTACACATCCCAAAGCATGAAGATTTGAACGGTTACGCCATTCAGCCCAATGTCAGGCCCTCAACTGCATCTCGCAGGGGCAATGCTTGAACCGCAGAGTAACTCTGGCCGGCTGTCCGTAGTCTTCCCCGGTGCGACACATGCGGCACGTGCCAGCAGCAAACGGCATAAGCAGAGGGCAGAGCGAAGGGAGGATGCCCGACGGCCCACCGGGATGCCTTGGAGCAGTATCAGGTTTCATGTACTGGTCTAAAATTTGGAATGGCCTGTGGAAGCGCGTGACGAAAACAGGCTCCTACACATCCCAAACTAGGAGGCTCCAAACCATCAAGCCATGTAGCCGCATTAAAGCATAGTGTATTTTAAAGGACTATGATGTTGTATGATCGTATGCTATATTAAATTGTATGATATGATTTTATAGTGCACTTCTACCAAACCCTGGCCCCCAAGGCTGTCACTTTTTGACACCTCCAGCTCGTTTCGTCCAGGCTGTCAAACTTGTTTTTCAATCCATGTTGCCAAGCAGCCAGCTCTAATTCCCGTTCCACTAAACCCCTGGGTAGTTATAAGGGGTCCTTTAAAGGGATCTATAGTGATTTTATAAGGGTATTGGTTTAGGGCCAACTCGGAGGTGCACGGGTAGTTATAAGTAGGGTTATAAGTTCCCTAGTATGGGTTATAAGTGTAGTTACCCCTACTTACAACCCTGCTTATAACTACCCATGAACCTCCAAGTGATTCCCTGTCTCCTCCCAGCTACACCTTCAGGTAAGCAAGCTTTACATTATCTTTTTGCTTTATTACACTATATCATACTACAATTAACTGGGTTATACCACATGATATCCTTCGACAAGCTACCATTATGTTAAACTTCATTGCATTACATTCTACCATATCATTATATTCTGAGAACTGAAACTTCCAAGACCACCAGCACGAGATCCAATCACTTTACGAAACTTGTTTTTGGGTGGCGAGACGATCGAGTCTGCTTAGGAAGTCTAGGGCTAATGGTTTAAAAGGATTTTGGGTTTCGGGCTTAAGGTTTAGGGTTCTAGTCAGAACTCAGCCGGGGTTCCACGACTTAAGGCCTGTGGCTAGCTGAAGATCTCCAACTACTGCCATGTGTGAAGATTGAAGTTGGTCGCATCTGTTAATGTAGGAACCTGATTAAGAAACCTTGGGTGCTTCTTCGGGTTCCTTATATGAATCCTACTACTTTGGGGTTATAGGCCCAGGGTTCCTTAATCAGGTTCCTCATCATCCTCAAACCCCTCAACAGTTTGTTTCAGGCATTTCGCGGCCAGAATTCTGACATGTACGCCAACCATCCATCCAACCGTGAAACCTCTTACAAGGCCCGTGCGCACTGGTACGTGGCACTATGGCTGACTGCTGGCCCATCGGCTGCTGATTGGGGCGTCATCGTGCTTGAGGGATAAGGTTTCAGAGCAGTAGACTCGTTTCTGATCTGATTTTCAGGGGCTAACAGGCTCTGAGTGAGCTGCAAAGGAACAAGACGTTCGGCAGCAGCCGAAACTTCTGCCCTCAGCCGATTTGCTCGCCCACGTCGTCTAAAGCACTTCAGTCTCTTCGGACAGAAGCTCACCGAATTGCCCAGTATCAGATATCGGCGCCCCCCCCCCGGCAAAGCTACGCAAGGATGCTATTTTGGGGGCTCCTTATCATAATTATCGTACGATATACCCCCCAAAACCCTAGACTATTGAGATGACATACCAAATTGCATCCCAATCCCCAGTCCCACAGCCAAGTCTCGAGACCCCCGGCCTAAGTCCGATTTGCCAAAGCCCGGGGACCCTGACATACACCCTACAACAGAAAGCCAGCATTTCCTAAGCCTTCATATCTAAACGACTGCGCGAGCGTTGGTCACGCTAAGGCCAACGCTCCGCAGAGGAGAGCCTCCACAACGCTGTGCAAAACCATAATATACTGGCCATTATAAATAGTCTAGGGTTTTGGGGGTATATCGTACTATAATTATAATAAGAAACCTCCAAAAATAGTAGTTCTAGGTAATTTCAAGGCCCCTATATTATGACTTAGCATTGAGTCTTTTGGGATGGGGGCTTGGAACCGAGGGTCCAAGAGTAGTATTTCATCGTGTTCGTTGGAGGGGCTGAACAGAGTACGAAGGTGACGACGGCAATGAACATACTGGTGGTAACTGGTTTAGGGTTTAGGGTTTAGGGTTTAGGGCTTAGGGTTTAGGGTTTAGGGCTTAGGGCTTACGGTTTAGGGCTTGGGGTTTAAGGTTTAAACACTTTGGCAGCTGGATTCCCTGCGTTGTTGTCAGCGACTGGTCAGTCACGACCACTTCGGCCAGTCCTAAGTTCTAAGGAATTTGGCTGCAGTAGGGAATGGAAGAATGGTAGTAATAGTAGCTATAATTATACACCATTCCTCCATTCCCTACTAACCAACGGTAAGTATGTTGCGAGTAAGTAGTACGGTTACCACGAGCTCTGTTATTCTGGACTACAGCTGCGCAAGTTGAAAAGCCATCTTCTGCCACTTACCTTCATTGCCAATCAGTAGATTCGGGCTGCTATTCCCCTTACTATTGTTATCCTAGATGCACTCAACCATAGAACGAGTAACCCTGAACTCCAAACTTTTTGAAAATGTCCGCAGGCACGTGACGAGTAGTTTGAAGCCAGTATGGTTGAAAGCTCCCTAAACCCTGAACCCTAAACCCCATCCCTATACTGAACTTCGAACCCTAGCAAAAATTGCTACTTTAGCTGTCTCTTAGGGATTATAATAACCAAAAACTAAAACATATTTCTAAGTACCCCTAAGATCCTCTGAATTCGAAGAGTACTACTGCAAGCCTAGACCCAAGAGTAACCCAGGAAGAAAAAGGGTGCCCTTTTTGGTTTAAAGGGGGTTATAAGGGAACCTAAACCCTCAACCCTAAACCCTAAACCCTACTAAACCCTACTCTGGGTCCTAGAAGCTTGAAGTTGGGTCACGGAACAGCCCGGGGGTTGCCATGGCTTGGAATTCTCTCGGCGCCGCGGTGCCAGGGAAGGCTTAGGACAGCTTAAGTCTAGGGCTTAGGGTTTAGGGTTTAGGGCTTAGGGTTTAGGGCTTTTTTCAGTTTAAGAGTGTGTTGGGTTTAGGGTTTAGGGCTTAGGGCTTAGGGTTTAGGGCTTAGGGGCTGGTTACCCGCATTTGTGCTGCCAGTATACCGCATCAGTCTTACAATGATGCCTGTGCTTTCTGACGAGTGTTTCAAAAGCCTGTGTGTGATGTCTAAGGTTCAGGGTTTGGGGGTGTTGACGTATAGTACAGCTGTGCGCCATGCTGAACCTCACAGTTCCTGACATAGGCGCACTGCTAACTTCAACAGAACCTACATCCTATACCCACAACCTGAAATCCTACACCCTAAATAAATCTAACACGGTGAGCCTTAGGCCAGAAACCCTACAGTGTTCCTAGATCCTAAGTTCTGAAACACAACCTCTAAACATGAAGTTCAATGCTCAATCTTGCAGTCTTACAACATCTCATCGAAAACCCTCAATCCTATGTCGTAAATCCCAAACCCTAAACCCTAAACCCCTAAACCTCTAAACCCCTAAACCCTAAACCCTAAATCCCAAACATTACAAAGGACCTTCTCAGTCAAGCCTTCTCCGGGCATCGGTCGCCGAACCATGGACAAAAAGCCGCTGCCGAGCCGAATGCAAAGCCTGCATAAACTCCTTCCTTGGAAATCTAGTCATGCTGGGGTGTTATACTGTCTAGAGTTGAGTGCTTAAAACTCGCGGTTTAAGGTCCTAGAGATTTGAAAGCTTTCTCCTCTGTGCTACAGGTAGCAGACCTGCACGTCGCCTCCATGCCTTGTTCTATCCGGCCGGCAGCTTGGCAATGAGATTACTGGCGCACACACTGAAGTCCCACAGCACCCAGCAAAAAGGATGCACAGCTTACTCTTCTTTGCAGTTGATGGCTTAGGCTCTGTAGTTTGCAGGCTTAAGGGCTGTGGATGAGGTCTAGGGTTTCAGTACTTCTTACCACTTGAACCGTCAACTCAGACTTGACAACAAGACCATGGCTTTCCGACATCCACTATGTGAAATTCGGGGAGGACCCTCTTGGGTCGAAACATGGCCAACATCCTGAAGCCAAAACCCTACATCCTAAAATCTGGTACCCTAGATAATAGAATCCGTATTATAAGGACCCCAAAATGAAAGTACCCCGAATTTTCGACGCCTTCTGTATATGTATACAATATTTTTTATTTAAGCTCATCACCCCCCAAAAGGGGCCAACTTCGTAGCTGTGGGGCTTTCAGTCTCGGCTGACCGTCCTGGTAGAATGGCTGAATTTGCTCGATCGCTCCCTCAAGAGAATGCCCCAACAAAAAGCCAACTATAGGGACGAAATGCAAGTTTTCAAAGGTGGAGGTTTCAGGTCTGAGGGTTTTGGTTTAGGGTGTAGGGATGGCCACTCCAAGCTGGGGACTTGCGCCAGAAACTGGTCTAGGAGGACACGAAGCTCTACCGAGACCCCAGACCCTGAACCATGTGACATGATACTGCTGATGGACAAAATCCTGCATGACCCT